GTGACACGCGCGCGCGTGTGTGCGTGCGTGCGCGTGTGTGCGTGCGCGTGTGTGTGTGTGTACGCGCGCGCGCGCGTGTATGCGCATGAACACGCGTGCGTGTATAGGATCTTTACGTATGTGAATGCCAGATGTATTGCTCAGAGATGTTTGGATTAGGTTCATATTTCATTATATACAATAAGTCTCGCAGTATGTTGACTATCAGAGTGCGTACGACCACCCATACATTTATAAAAATGATAGAAGTATTATGAAAGTAAAATGAAAGAAATCCCATTTCATATATTCAACAGAAGCTGTCCAGTATATTATTTCTTTTGTTTAAAATCTCATGGAAACTCTTTTTTGTTTAATGAACAACTAAATTCGACAAATCCATATGATCCAATCATATGTAAATAAGTGAAGTGAATGTATGAAATTGTGTAGTGCATTTTAAAAAAGAGCATGAGAAACAGTTAATTGGATAGAACAAAAACTGGTGCCTTACATAATATAATTAAAAAAAAATTATAATTTTTTCTTCTACTATTTAAAATAATTCAATAATATTATATAAAAATAATTTACATACAATGGTTTTTTATTTTTTTCTAGTCTTTAATTCTCTAATCCTGGTAAACGTAATATTTTTTTTCTTGAGCTATTCTTGCATTATGTTTTGTATTTGCTATTTGATCATGCACTTCTATTTTCTGCTTCTTCTATTTTCCGTTCGCTTTCTTATCCTTGATTGCGAGCACATTCCCATTTTTTATGTACAAAAAAACCCGAATATGTAGGTGGAATATGTAGGTGAAAGAGGAATGAAGAAGAAAGAATACAGAATTTGTATGATATATTCTTGGAAAAAAATATACTGAAGAACGAAAATACTTTCTTGGGTAGAATGATTTGTATATTTTTGACATAAATATTTATTGCTACATATGCATAACAATAAATGATTATCGTTCTCTCTAAGAGCTCTATTACATTTTGCACATGTACTTATGTAGCAACTTGTTTTTTGCACCATAGCAATTAATACCAAAATTATATATTATAGCTGAAGCATTTCATATATGTTCCGATGCACATAAAATTCCGAATTAATTTTCAAATGTGGAATTTTTTCCATCGTGTAATGTGATAAAAGTTCAGTAAATTTCTAGTGTTAATGTATAAAACGAGAATTATATGGTGTGACGAAAAACATTTTGTTATATTTAACAGAAATAAATAATTTTAATATTTTTAATAACTTTAAAATAATATTCAAAATATACTTGAAGATAGTATTTTATAATGCTACATATGCGACACGTTTATTATTAATTGCATACATTTATACCAAATATATTTTTATTTTATTTTAGAATTTTCAGATTATTTGCTAACAATACATTTGGTATTGTCTGATTACAAAAAACTTTAGCAATATTTTTTTACTCAGAATTTTATGCATTATTGGAAAATAGGTGAATTTGCATAGAAAATTCGTCTTGGCATTATCATTTGCGTATACATGTGTACATTTATAATGTTATTCTCTAGAAAATATTTATTTAGAAATTATCTGCAATATTTTAAAAGCAATATATTCATAGGACGGTATTCATAGTCGACTCTTATTTTAAGACCGTCTTAAGACGTTAATGCAGCCTTCTGATTGACTTCTTGGTGACTTTTTAAGACTTGAGACAGTCTTGAATATAAGATCTGACTATGAATACCGGCCATAGAGATACATTAACAAAAGAAGTCAATAGGAAAAAATTGTATTGTACTATGGCTTGGTCAAGTCTTTATTTCCTTCAAAGTACTACTCTGATAACAATTATGTGTTATCTCTCTCGTTATCATTTCTTCCAATATTTCCAATCCTCCTATAATTATTTGTTTTCTATTAAAGATATGATATATCGTGTTATCTGTCAGCTTCACCAATGTTTCATTCGATCGGAATGTGTTATTTATCGTGAAAGTGGCTTTATGAATCACATTTTAATATCTTCTTAGGACAGATATTTTGTTTCTACAAGACAATTGTGCTGTTAAAATTGTGTTCTTTCAAGAATTGTAAGATATCAGAAAAGCAATTTGGAACTTTTTTATTAGCTAGGAAATACTTTAAATTTTTTACCTATAATGAACTTCATTTATTTCTTTATTGATGAAAATTAATTCTGAAACTATGTATATACTTATTTTTGAAGTAACTTGAAAACCAATCGCATTTTTATATCAACTTCAACAAGAACTCAGAGAAAAGCTTTCGTTATTCTTGTTGATTATTACCGTAACTATTCGAAGGAAGAAAATATCACAGAAGTTTAATAAAAGCACCTCGCAGATGTTTTCTGAATTTTCTATTAAATATTGGATAAAGAAACTCGAAGGAGTGATTCTTGCATCACTTTCGAGATAAACGGTTCCGATCATCACTCACGTGCGTCACGTTTGCTTTTCTTCTAGAAGTAAAGCACAACGAGGTATAACGATACTTTTAGCGCGACAATGGCAACAACAACCAATTCCAAAAAGCAAGACACCACCGCCGTCGACGAGGACGACGACATTTTCTATTACGTCGGTGTAAAAGCGTCACCGTTCGCGGCCGATAGCGCGGTTTTCGGTTTGCCACCGAAGGAGGTATCGGCCTTACGCTGTCGTTTCCCGCTGTCCTCCTGTAGCACGAATGTTGTGAATGGAATTATGCTTAAAGGTTAATAACTTAGAATTTCGACGAGATTAAGAATTGCACGAACCATTTTCTAAGGTCCCGAAAAGATTTAAGATTTCTCGATTACCGATGCAATTTTTATTTGCGCGCAAACGTTAACTCTGCAAATACGTGCAATACGTGCATGTCAGAGATAGCAATACTTACTCAATATGAAATTTTTATTAATTATATAGTATTATACTTAGCAAATGCAAGAAATTTAAATGATTTGTACAATTAGCCGAGATTTTTTAAAATTGTGATCTTCTAAGAATACATGAAGCAAACGCATCATATAATTGAATGAAATTGTTAAAGAATGTCCTTAATTTCATATTTTTATTATATTGATCGATACAATCAGTAAAAATAATTTATAAAAAAAGAAATGTCAATTCAATTATGAAAAATTGTCTAACAAAAAATTAAAGTAAAATAACTGAAATTGCAAATGATTTAAGATTAGTTGGCAATTAGATTACAGTTAGTATAACTAACAGTGTCAGCAGAAAAAGCAGCTTTGCTAGTATTTTAAGATTTTTTACAATACGATTGGTTCTTATCTTTAGTTTCTCATTGAGTATAAATATATAAACCAATCAGATTAAAGAATCTTATAACAATTGCAAAGCTTTTTCTGCTGATCGCAGCCATTATTTTGTGTTAGTTAATTAAAAATAATAAATCAAAACAAATTATGTCGTGATTTTTTTATACGTTTCATTTTATTTTCATTTTCTTATTCAAGAAAGCATGCAGTTGAAGAGTTAATGTTTTCATGTAAATTAACAGTATTAACAATAATGCAATGTAACTTGTTAATAAAAGATATACTTGTAATTGAAATATACATTTAATCAACATTGCATTCAATCTATATTTAATAAATATTATATTCGATTTGACGGATATTTGTAGGAAAAATTCTTTTAAACACATTTAAATAGGTTTGTGATATTTGTATTAATGAGATTCTTGGATCTTTTGTGGGGCTGATCCTTTGTCATAGTCACACATATTAATATTATCATTTTGTTGATTGTGACAAAATGATTTAATAGTTTTTAAAAGTTTAATTAATTTAATAGAGATATAGAGATATATGAAATTTTATTAAGATAAATATTACAACAATTTATAAAAAGTTTTGAATAAAACCAGTCGTGATCTAACAGTAATAATATTAGCTTCTTCATAGGATATCCTTTAGGAACTTACGTTGCAAAATTGATTTCAGGCACACCATTCTCCGTCATAAATGCTCTAGCTGAACTCGGCTATCGAGTTATTTGTAGTACCGGAGAAGCCGAGGTACTTTGGACACTACAGCGGGATTGTTAACACTTTAAAAATGGGCCTTACTACAAGCGCATTATATGTCTAAACATATATTCTCTTGTGACTTCTATATATATAATATGTATGTGTCTTTATGAATCAAACTGTAGACATTAGTATTAATGAATCGATGAGATTTGTAACTTCACTTTGTTCTTTTTTTTTGCATCTACTTTTATATCTTGGAATAATGAATGTTTGCGGAAATTACATTTGTAACTGCGCCTCGGGGGAAGTTGAGTTAGATATATATATATATATATATATATGTGCGGACCAATTAAAAAGGCTTTGTTTTAAAGATCAATTGTGATCAATTGTACCTTGCAAAATTGGATATTGGTATGTATCGGAAGTACTGAAAAAATGCAGCTTTCCGTTAGAATAATAAAAAAATAAATACGTTCCATCTTTCCCTTAGGAAACTTACACTTTAATTCTTGTGCGAAATCACGAATGAATTCTCACGTTATCGGACGTGATATATTATGTACCGCGGCAGTGATGAGTTCCTTTTTTTACAACTTCGAAAATGACGCGGTAAAATTTTATAATCACGATATAAGACTGTGTTTAGAGGGGAAGGAAACATGATCCCGGAGATTGTGAACCACGTAAATACTTCTGCAATGTGCAAAATAATCACGTTGTGGATAATAATAACTTACAAGCAGTTGCGGAAATTTCGTCAGACCAAAGGAGCATGTGCTAATTGCGTCATATCCACTATATGTAATACTGAAGTATTAAGTATACATTGATTTGTGATATCTTTACCTCGTTGCGTAGAAAATGGGTTTTTTAATGCTTTATCGAGGATTTATGACGTGAGTCTCATAGGATCCAGATTGGGCCAAATTGACGCAACATTTAGATTGCACCAAATTGGTCCATATTGGCTTTAAACTGTTTTAGTGTTTATAATTGTGGAGAATGAAATTTTATTATAGTGCAAATATTATTTACATATATTATATCTTTATATAGCATACTATTACCTAATACCATCTGTAATGTCTTTTCCCACTATTTGCTTTATTATATGATTTGTCGTATAATTATTGTTATACGCGAGATATTATTCCTCCGGATCGATTGTGGTCCAGAGAGTTTAAGAGTGTAAAACTATTTATAGAAAAAAAGTTGATGATATTTTGTTACTCTTATTGCAAATATAAATGTCGATCTAAAGATTTTATTACAGATTATAAATGTCAATCTAAGGGATTATTGCAATCGTTTCCTGTTTTCATTAAGAATGGAAATCTATCGAATGAAATTATTAAAAGCAATCGTTAATTCGTAGTGTGACAATTATATGTATATTATTTTAGTTTATTCATAAGTAAGAAAATCAAAAGTTATCAAAGGTGGAGGGAACGAGAGTATATTTATAGTTTAACAGTCTGAATAGTTAGTACAAGCAGCGTTTGCGCTAATTCGAATTGTGAATTTTATATTTATGTAATAAGCTAATAATTTCTTTCATACCTGAAGCTGTATTTTATATGTACGGCAATTATACATAGGTTTATACTCAACGTATAATTGAACGTTGCTTTGTGTTGCAAACTATGAGAAATAAATAAACATAGAAGTCATATATCGTACAATTTATACACTTCGAAAAATCTTTACCTCTGAACTTGAAGCGATCTTTTCTTCTTCAGATGTATATATTTCAGTTAATCAAAGTTAATATAGGATTTTTTAACAGTCATTTGCAGATACAAACAAACAATGGAACATTCTTATGATCACAAAATGTGTTGCGAAGGGGCTGCGCGGTATAATGTCTGTCAGAATATAGATGAACTTTATTTCGAACGTGGGCTTTGGACGGCAGGTAAATAAAAGTGATACAGATATTTATTTGGAACAAGGTAAACTGTAAACAATAAAGCATTTCAGAACATATTATAAATGAACAAGATCGCAAATGAATTGGATCATACATTCAGATTTGACTGTGCGCTTCAATCTTATAATGAATTCAGAATTCAATTGACTTTGTTCTCATTATTTTATGTTTAAAAAATGATTGCATAATATGCAAAACAGAAACCATATAATACAAAATAAAGATTGATTTCTGAATTATAAATAAAAAGTTATTAAAAATGTATAATTTTAAACTAACATGTATAATTTTAAACTAATATAAATTAGGATTTATACTCAGTATCTATAGATTTTTAAAATGTGTTACTGAAAAAAAATTATTATTTATTACAGTAATACAAAATTTACAAAACGAAACGAATATTAGAATTTTATTATTGTTTTTACATTGTAAAAGTAATTATTTTATATTGCAATAAATATTAAAATTTTATTATAATTTATTATTATAATGATTATATTATTGTATTATTATATATAGTACTTTTTTGTATTGCTTGTAATAAACTTTTTTTTTTACGATTTTTGATTCTGTGAATATAATTCATCAGGAATGTTGCAGTCTGACAATGAGAGGATCAATTCTACATGAGTTTAGATTTAATAACACATTTTTAGGAGTTTGGCTTCTTTTTTTGTGTTTTTGCACTGGTTTTTCGTGCGTTTTTTTCAGCGTTGGATGGTGACGAGGATCGTATCCTTACGCTACTGCAGAAGGGCGTCTTCGTCGATACGCCGGACACGACTGCCGGCTACACAGCGTTGCATTACGCAACGCGGAGTGGGCATTACCACGTGTGCAAGATTTTGCTGCAGCACGGTGCGAATGTGAACGCGTGCACCCGCAGCCTGAGAGCGACGCCTTTGCATCGCGCGGCCAGCATGGGCCATGTTAAAATCCTCAAGCTGTTGCTTACCTACAAAGCAGATCCCAATCTGACAGATGTAGACGGCAGGACAGCTCTGCATCGGGCTATTCCAACGATAGCCGGTTCCGTTGAGGGCGTCGAGATCCTTCAGTCATTGTTGCGGATCACCGATCGCACCATCAAAGACAAAACCGGACAAACTATCGATGACGTGTTTGAAAGTTGGAAAATGACGCAGAGTGAAGACGAAAAAATAAAAATAATGGAGAAATTGTTTTATCATAATCAGGAATAATAAGGTGAGAAATTTGGTGAAAAATATGTGAAAGTGCAAATATGCATTTCCTTTTTACAAAGAAATCTCGTAAAGCGTCAAAGTCTGATTTTTTAGATTGTTTTTAGAAAATATTAATTAAGGCGGAAAACGAGAAGTTTAATAGAGAAGTGCATCGCTTCTTATAATTATAATGATTTTTAATTAACTTTTTTTCGTTGTATCAAAAAGATAATATTTAAGATAAAAAATTTTATACAAAAGTTTTATAATAGAGTCATCTTTATTTATCCATATCAGTTTTTTAAATATTGAAAATATTTACATTAAAATTTTTGAAAAAAATTTTTTTTTTAATATTGATAAATAAAAATATTTTTATGTGGATAAATAAAAATATTTTTATTATAAAAATTTTGTACACAATATTTTTTAATATCTTGAATAGTTATTGAGATATATAATGAAAAAAAGTTA